TTTTTGCACATACATTTACACTCCCGATCTATGACGACTACTTAATGATGAATTGTAATTGATTTTGACACCTCATGCTGCATTTTTTATGAAAAACTAAAAGACTGACTTACTTCATGGTCCAACCTGAAAATCATGACTTTTAAGCTCTCAATATTCATGATATTATTTTTTTCTGTGGTTTCTTACTGTCCCTTTTGATGACAATCCTGGTGGATAGTTGTCTCATTGGCAATCATACCATTACCACATATCCTTATTTATATATGGACTCAGCTGGTACTTAAATGCAGCATAATGAAAACCAGTCATGAATATCCAATATTTAGTGGATTATACCTCAATTCAGATACATAATTAGTCCACATTTTAAAAAAAATGCAGCAAAGGATGTCAGAAGCAATTACTTGTATGTCATTCTTGAGTACTCATCAAAGCTAAAGATGGTACAGTATACATGTACATTGTTTATGTGTAATACCATGCCTGAATTTTGTTTGAAAACAATGGTCTATATATCTATATACATCAAGTTGTGTATTTGGGGGTGGGGGCAGCATCCATGGAAAGGGACTTAATTGTCAAAATTCTGAGGGTGGCAAAACATTTTATTTTCCCAAACATACGCCTTTCCTGAATCCATCACTGGGATTACACATGAAATGAGGTACATTGTACAATGTATATTCCATGATTTAATGGTTATTATTGACATGTCAGGGGACACATTTCACACATAACCAGAATGATAAGTTATTATAAATCTACACTTCGAACATAGCTTGAATGCATGGGCTATATTAGCTCGATTGAGCAATTAAAAACACTTCCCATTGACATAATTAAAATGAAATACCAATTTTTGCATTAATACTTGGTAGTGTAGTGTAAAACTTTAAAGCCATATTAAAGAAACGTATTGAATACTACTGTGTATAAATTTTAACTTTTTTCATGAATTTTGGGAGGATTATTTAATTGATTTTTTTCAAATTAAAAGTACAATTTATTGCAAAATTTACTTGTCTGTTTCAAAGTATACTGTCATACTTTTATTATAAAACATATATATTCTAATTTTTGAAAATGTAATCATCTAGCTAGTGGGCTTTGAGAATCTAGAAATTATTAAAAACCTGTGTAATTTGCAATTGATAGCTAGCATATAGTCTCTGGATGAAAAGAGATGAAATTTTTAAAACAACATGAGTGCTATAAATTTATTATGTTATTACTAAACATCATCAATCATCACTATTCATTGTATTAAATTGTTTGAAATAAATCTGCCCTTTTGAGCAAGTTTAATTGACTAAAAGGTTTATTGAATTGAACATTGTATTACATGTATATATATTAAGGGTCCAGAAACAGCCAAATTTGCCAGACATAGTTGACAGATTCTGAAATGCAAAAGAATTATTTAATTAGTATTGGAATTTTTGTCCAGAAAAAAAAAAGTAACAAAAAAAGTTAATTCAGTCATCCCGATTTCATTGCAATTGAGGTTTTTAAACACCATTTTGAACTTATTATTGTGTGCAAAGTTTTCAGGTAAAGAAACTAAAACCCAAAGGGTCCCTCAACGACTGTTTAGATACCCTTGGGAGATATTGGTAATTATCCCTAATCACTTTTCTGTTTACCTGTGTTCACACCTGAGAAAATGTATAATTGATTAAGTTACTTGTTATTTAAAAACTTTTTAGCAAGTCTGCCTATAGTTCCAGTTTTAAACTTTCTGTAGAGAAAGAGGAAGTCGGAAAGAACAACATACCTTTGACAGGAAAACTGGCCATCCTAGTCAATAAAGATCGGAGTGGAATGCGCCTGTATAGGTTCAAAATCACAGTCTTGACAGACTTGCTGTATCATGTTTATAATGATGAACTACAGTAAATTGTACTTAGACCACTTTCTCACCCAGCCCCCCCCCCCCCCCCCCCCCCCCATTGTATACCTAATAAAAACAATCCCTGTATTGTATATTCGAATTCGTACTTTATAATCACTGATAATCAACATGAAACTTCAAGGTTTCATATGTTTTCTCAAAAATTGAAAGTAGTAATTTTAAGCTATTTATACTAGAAAATTAATTCCAATTTTAAGGCGTTTTAAAGGCATTCCACAAATCATTCTTAAACGCTTTTACAAAAAAAGTAAATCTTTTACATGTTTTAGTTGCCAACTTTCCCTATTGTTCTATTCTGCGGTCATCTATCCCTCTGAAACTTGCTATGTTGGAAATCACCATTAATTTATCAACAAAATGATGCATGATAGGCTTACCTTTATATTAGGATTTCATTTTATGGCAGGTCAGACAACCCCTGAATAATAAAATGCCAAATGTTAGGAACCGAATGGGTTTGAGGGTGGCCTGTTGCATGGTTAAATTTCTGTCTTTATCCAACATTCAATTGTTTTCCAGTGGCAGTCCAAATTTCCCTCTCTTCATCTCTGTTGTCCCACATTGCAAAACCCATCTATTGTGTTGCATATAAATAGTTTCTGGTCCTGAATATGCTTACATGTATAATTGCCACTGGATGTTAAGCTACGAACAATCAATTAATCATTCCCAAAAAAAATGAAAGATAAGTATGTTGTGTTAAGTTAAAGTATATAGATATATGCTTTACAGAGACAATCACTTGTAGTGGCAAAATTATATTTATCAGTTCTTCACTTCCAAATAATAAGCATGTGATGTGATAAGTGTCAAACTTAATTTTCATAAATCAAATAAAGTGAAAACAGAGTCTTACTTTACACAATTTTTCAAGTTCAAGTTAAAAAAATACAATGAAATTTTATGACAGAAGTGAGTGACCCATTTTACCCAATTTGAATCATAATGACTTGTAGTTAGTTATAGAATGAAAAGCTAATATATACCTTACATACACCCCTTATACTGATATATATGTCAACATGTAAGTATACCATAGATCAGGACACAATTGTAAAAGGCCAATAAGGATTTGGCCTACAAATGTTTTTTCTTTTGTCAGGTATACTTGTTTATAGTGATAATTTATGTTTAGAATGATTTGAAATTTAATTCAAATGTCAGCTTATATTTGCAATTGTGTCAGTTTTTCTTTGCAATAGCTTGATCATTTTGTTATATTTTCCTGTCAATGTATTTTCATTTTATACATTATTTTACCTCATTTGGGCATTTGTTGTGCATGAAATCTTTGTCAGTATCTTGATCAAAGGTATGAATATTTTTATTGGGATAAGCTTAGATGGGCTTTGCTCATTTTTGAAGGCTGTACAGTGACCTATAGAACTTAATTTCTGTGTCATTTGGTCTCTTGTGGAGAAGTGTTTCATTGGCAATCATACCACATCTTCTTATTTTTATATAAGATAAATGTGTTGACTTGATTGAATAGATATATTTTTGTGGGTGGGTTGCATAATGTCCATATAATAAGGATACAAACCAATGCTTGAAAAATGTCAAGCTAACACAAAAACATGGACCTGGGTGTTACCGTCATAGAGTAGGAGAAATATACAGATAACATAGCAGTGTGAAATCTTTATAGTTTCTTTCCCTTTTTATACGACCGCAAACAATTTTTGCAGTCGTATATTGGTATGACGTTGGCATCGTCGTCGTCCGAAGACACATTGGTTTTCGCACAATAACTTTAGTTTAAGTGTATGGATCTCTATAAAATTTTACCATAAGGTTCAATACCACAAAAGGAAGGTTGGGATTGATTTAAGGGGTTATGGTACCAACAGTTAAGGAATTAGGGGCCAAAAAGGGGTCAAAAATAAGCATTTTTGTTACTTCCAGACAATAACTTGTGTTTAAGTGTATGGATCTCTCTGAAATTATACCACAAGTTTCCATACTACAAAGGGATGGTTAGGATTGGCTTTGAGGGGTTATGGCTCAAACCGTTTAGGAATTAGGGGTAAAAAAGGGAAAAAAACAAGGGTTTCTTGGTTAATGGACAATTTAAAAGCAGTGTAAGGGAGGTAATCCAAAAACAAAATTGTACAATGTTGGATTACCTCCCTTACACTGCTTTTAAATCGTCTATTTAAGACTTTTATGATGTATTTAAATTGGTAATTATGGTTGCAAACTCCATTGGAAATTTGAATTGAGATTATGACCATATCTTGAGGGAAAGAATATTTTTTTTGGAAAGGGGGGGGGGGGGCAATTTTTATTTCATTTCAGATTTCAGAAATTAAAAAGAATATTTTTTTTTGTTCAAAAAAGGGGGGGGGGGGTAACAAAAATTTGGGGGTCAATGCGCAACAGCATAGTGTATTTCACAAAAGCAAAAAAAAAGGGGGGTAATTTTTTTGGTTTTTTTTGTTGGGGAGGGGGTCAATTCGCAACAGCATAGTGTATTGCACAAAAGCAAAAAATTGAATATAAATTCAAATCATATAACCAATTCTAAGTTCTTTGACTACAGTTATTCGGTGTCAGAAACCTACATGTAGGTTTTATATGAATTGTTAGTTTTAGGCATCGACCATTTATCTTTTGTGTTGAGGGGGATGAGTTTTCCTTCAGATCCACATAATTTTGCAACTTTAGAATTAATAAATAATAAGCACTAAAAGTCTATTGTTTTCAATAACATACAGGAACAAAAAATTTTGAAACGATCCAATGTTGAAGCAAACAAAAATAAGATTTTTCGCACAAGCTGAGACAAAATTAATAAACATAATTATGAACATTTAGCCAAAGGAAGTTATAAAAAGGGTCTGACAACGCACTGTTTTATGTTTTATTGTTTTTTTTTTCAGATTTTTTTGGGGGGGGGGGGGGGGGGGGGGGGGGGAGAGGGGATCAATATGGATTTGCTGTATTGTGTAACATACATGTTCAAAATTTTGAGGAATGAATTTCATAAGTCGAACCAGTGATTATAAAAACAGAAAGTAAAACAGAGCCTAATTAGCCTGGTGTGGAAACAGGATGTAAATTTCAATCAGATCTTTAACAATCAGATCTTTAAATTGTCAATGCAAATTTTCAACACAATGCTTATACTTTTCATTTTATATATATATTTATGACTTAATGATGTGGATTTATTGATATTTGTGGATTGAGGTAAAATTGTATTTTTGTGGATACTTGATTTTGTGACTTTGCCAAAAGTCTGCATAGTGCATACAAGCCTAAACCTTGTAGAAATGTGTACTTCATTGAACATGCAATTTGTTGTTCTCAGATACTCATAAAATCAGCAAAACTTGGTATCCCACTAAAAGCATAAAACTGAATATCTGGCGAGGAAGCAAGTACATGTATAGCATCTGCTGATAAAAAAAAATCAGAAATAAGCTTAAGTTGAATCTAGTTATATGTATGGAAAAAAAATCAAAATTGTCTACCTATCACAGACCAGACAAACAGATGTCTAAATGCAGAATCTACTTGAAACATTTAGTGACAGATGTTTTTCACATCAAGCACTTAAATAATAAGTGGAAAGCATTAAAAAAGTAAGACACAACTCTTTTAACCAATTATCCACCAAGAAAAATGACAAAGACATAATGTAGGAAATTGTTTCTTAAAAACCTAAGATGAGGTTAATTGAATTTACATGTCACATTTAATGAATATTTTGTATGTAAACAGGAAGTTTAGAGCAACTGGTACAGGAAATTAATAATTACTACAACATATGTCTGGGGGCAGTTATGATTTTGAAGTGAAGTGGGAAATAGTTAGTTTCCTATCTTGCCCTTTGTGTTAGTTAGTGATATTTATTTTGTACATTATTGGATTGCTTCATTATTACAATTGTAAATGGAAGGTTGTCATAATGAAAAGTGCTTTCAGAGAAAAAGGTAGGGCCACAGTTCTAATTTAATTTTCTTCTTGGTTACTTGATTACACACTGTGCACTATCAAATATTGATTTTTCTCAGGAAACTGAGTATTGACAACTGTACAGTGTAATTGCTTTCATTTACTTTTGCTTGCTTTTAGAATATACACTAGTTTTTGTAAAAGTAAAAAAAAATCCTTGGAAATTTATATTCCTGGAATCCAGAAGAGGTGCACATTTTAATATGCAATATTTATGCCCTCTTTGTTGAAAATGATGGGTTTTATGTTATCAACACTTCCTACTTTCATGACTTTATAATGATGAATTATTTCAAATTGTGATGAAAATTAATGAAATGATATACAACTTTCAAATACTATGAATTGACAATGATTAATGAGAATGATCAATTAAAATGCAAAATTGTATCAAGATGTCACTTTATGAAAGACTATTTTTCATTTTATGCTCATTAAAACAGTGATCTTTCCAGGCAGTACTTTCAAAATATAGCACCATGGAATGTGAAATAACACTTTTATCCTAGAATCATAGAACCATATTTTATTTTATAATACATTTTATTATGAAATCTTGCACCATGATACATACCATTGTGGTATAACGGCCTGGGAAGAACTGCTGGGAGAAAACTGATGTAAGAAAAAACAAAAATTAAAATTATGATGTGATTTAATGTACGGGCACAACAATTGTTGCCACACATTAACACAAACAAAAATGTTAATTTTGTATTTACAACAAAGCAGATAATATCAATACTCTGTATTTGTATAACATTGTTTGTCACCAAATAAGTTGGGATTGAACCCATTAATATTGTGTGTCAACATTTCCAGTAATCATTTTAATAGATTAACCAGATTAACTCACTTCCTGTGTTTAAACATTTAATATTTGTTTCTCTTTTAGGAGATGATAAGGCCGAATCAGATGATTCTGGCAAATTATCAGCCGTGAGAGATAACCAACCCCAGCAGAGAAACAGTGCAGTTATGAGTAATCATCGTTTATATCGTTCTGCAGTCAGACCATTCTTTTGTTGTGGAAGTCAGTTTTCACTTAACAGCATTTCTGAATTTATTGAAATTCCTACATCATCAATGGAAGCAGAGGAGACTGAATATGTAGATATAACAGATGATGAAGATGAAACAGAGTTGATGAACTCCTTATCTATAGAAGATGAGGATCAGGCAAGCATTAAAGTTGTCCCTGAGAAAGTTTCTCCTAGACAAACAAATTCAAGACGGAAAAAGTCAGAAAATACTCAAGATAAAGGAACTACGAGGAAGAAATTTTTTACATTAAAATTACGTGGGCGTCTTCAAGTGCCAAAAAACACCCGTAAAAATGATGAACAAGAGGAAATCAGTACTGAGAAGTGTGTTTGTACATCTTTTCGTAGAACAGATGAAGTAGGTGCTACAGCATCTGGTAGCTTGGGAGCTACAGGATCTTTAACTTGGACAAGTAATCCTTTTTATTCAGAAGAAAGGGTCCAGTCTCGTCCAAACTCTGTATGGGGTCAAACAGATCTTTTTCTCCTATCTCAAAGAATTAATTTTGATGAACTTTATCCAACAGAAGATATAGATGAACAACGTATCGCCCAAAGGGCGAGGGAAATGGAAGAAGGCATTGATGTTAATGACGTTTGGGTGAAAGCTCCTGTACTTGGTGCTGTAGGTGGCAGTGTTGAACCCTGTCACCATCGTGGATCTTGTTCAAGAATAAATAAAAAAAGAGAAGACTTTTATGGAGAAATATCATATCCTCAAGTAAGAGGAACATTCTTGCCAAGGACATTGATGACTTCAAGTGAGATGATGGCATCCCGTGAACTGTTGGCTAATCCACACTTAAATAGACCAAGAAGTCAACCACTACAGTCACATTCACAAGTTGATTTCATTCATTGTTTGGTTCCAGACATAAGTGCTATAACTAACTGCAGCTTTTACTGGGGTGTGATGGACAGATATCAAGCAGAGCAGCTGTTGGATAATAAACCAGAGGGTACATTCCTATTACGTGATAGTGCACAGGAGGATTACTTGTTCTCTGTCAGTTTCAGACGTTATGGTAGATCTCTACATGCTCGCATTGAACAATGGAATCATAAATTCAGTTTTGACAGTCATGATCCTGGAGTATTTGCTTCAGAAAGTGTATGTGGTCTCATTGAACACTATAAGGATCCTAATTGTTGTATGTTTTTCGAACCAATGTTGACTATTCCACTTCACAGAAATTTTCCATTTTCATTACAACATCTATGTCGTGCTACTTTAAGTGACAGAATTACATATGATGGCATTAATTTTCTTCCATTACCCAGATCTCTGAAAGAGTACCTCACTTATTATCATTACAAGCAAAAAGTGAGAATTCGAAGATTTGACTTGAATGCATGAGATTTATAGATTGGGTAATACCAAAAGATCTCTTAGCAATTGTATTCCATCATCCACACAATCACATTGATATTAAAAGTATGTTGATTTGAAATTTCTTGTTTAAGATTGAAATCATCGCTGGTAAAGCCCCAAAAATATATATGTCTGTTTCATGCCTCCAGATCAACCTTATGTTTGATTGTTGACCCTAATACTTTTTATTGCCTTGCTAAAAAAATATTCAAGAAATAGCATTTTGTGTCTTTTTCTGGAGACTCCAATTTTGTAATAAAATTAACCAAAATGACGTGAAAATGATGTCAAGATTGGAAATTGCAATGATGTTCATTATTATTATAAGGAATAAGATTGGGAGAACCAATGTTTTTCTTGATTTTGTGGATGAGAATTTTTGTTTTGTCCCAATGATCCATAAACATTGGTACTCGCAAAGTAAAGAAAAGTACTCCAGGCATGCCAGGCACACATTTTGTCTACTGTAGTACTTAAACCAGATGAGGGATACGAATTACTTGCATCTTATTTTTTACATGATATACTATTTTTCATCATTAAGATATTATTTTTCATAATCCTTATAACTTGAGGTTGTGATCACTTATTGTGTGTATATATTTACCTACTAAAGACAACTTTTCCCTATCTTTCTTTGCTAATAAAGGCCTTAAGAAATTATTCCTTGATTAATCTCTGATACTTTGAACATTTACCATCTACCTCAGTTTTTAGCTCATCTGGCCCTTGTGCTAATGTGAGCTATAAGCTATCATTTGCTGAACATTGTCTGGCAACTGCTGTCTGTTTTAAGGCAGTAGGCCTTGCTAATTAAAAATTTTTCCACTCGTTTAATTTTTCCTATATTTACACCATTGAAAGGGTATTAATGTGTCCTATTTTAATCAAAGTTTGCCAAAATGGTGTTTTGAAAGTCTTCATGAGTCAACAGAGGCAGTCATTGATTCAGATTGGAAGGAGCAAATAAAGGATAAGTTTCCCAGATCGGTGATCATGATGATTCAGGAATATTTCTAAACTTTTCAATACTACTTAAGTATATATTCAGGTAAATTTAAGAACACAAAGTCATATCAGCATTAAACTTAGTCTGAATCAAAATTTAATTTATATACATGTATTGTAAAATTTAAGTTATTCATTGTTATATAATTATACATGTACATATATTTATTATCAATTGTTTTAAAAGTTAATTTTGTACAGTGAATAGGCTGGACTGCATCAAAAGTATTTTCTATTTAATTTATAACAGTGTTATGAATGTTGGAAAATGTGAAACTGACTCCCTTTTCATAAACCTCAGATTTTTAACATGTTTAAGGAACCAGTTTTAGCACAATCATTTCTGTAATTCCTGTAAGGTCATAATCAAATCTATTTGGCTTTTACATGAAACCATTTGGAGAAGTACAATGCATGTATTAATTGTGTATATTAAGCTTTACTAAATTCATATTTTAGATTGTTTCCTCTATCTCCAAGGCAGTGTTTCTTTAAATTAAAAAATCCAGACTGTTTACTTTAATATGTGACCCTTTTGTTTTTCGGGCTGTTCCTTTAAGGTATACATATTAGATGACAATTGGTGAGAGAGAGACAAAATTTTTAAAAAATGTTAGTGGTGGTTGTTTTAGCTGAGAAATCTTCTGTTGATGTTTATTTGGAATTGTTGTAAAGCAGGGGCGGATTCAGGCAGGGGCGTGGTGGACATGCGTCCCCCTAAAATTTGCAAAGCATGGGTTGTCCTCAGCTTAAAGAATATTTCTTTAATTTTACCTCAAAAATAATTTAAGTTTGCGCATCCCCCCCCCCCCCCCCCCCCCCCCCCCCCAACCTAAAATCCTGGATCTGCCCCTGTAAACATTTTATAAAGGAATGTTGACTTACATTACTGTTAGAAGATCTGTTATGTCAAGGTTTCTTCAAAAAGAATATGTGATTTGAGCATTTTAAAAATCATGATTTTAGTCCTGTCAGAACAGATTTTTTTTTAACACTGAAAAAATTGAAGCTTATTACCTCAACATAAAAGAATGTAAATATCTTATTTTCTGTTTCCTAATTATTTCTATTTCTACATATGTATTGTTAAGTATTTACCTATCAGATTCTGCAAAATTATGTTTTTAAAACACCTGTAGTCATGGTAGTAATGGAACTAATTTAATGTATCATTTATAGTTTCCAACGGTATACTTCTTAAATTGTGACTTTTTAAGTCTATTGTGATTCAGTTTTCCCCATTAAATTTCACAAATGAAAATTTATGTCAATGTTTTTCAGCATTATTTGATTCATGTCTCATGGTTTCTAATCTATGGCCTGTGAGAGGTAAAATAAAAAGGTATTTTTAATTCATTATATTGGGCTCCACCTTTCAAAGAATTTCAGACCAGCAGATTTTGTGTAAATTTTCATATAAATGGTTGAAAAATTGCTGTAGTTGTATTATGTTACCCTTGGTGATATCCATTTATTGTAAACAGTGGTGCTTATTTGTTTTGTAGATTTAAATTCATTTCATTGTAAGTTGAAAGTTACGTATACATTTATTAAATTATATTATTTACAAGAGTTATCTTTCTTTCCATTAGGTAGTCAAACAAATGTACAACTTTATGGCACTTGATTAAACATTCCATACCATTTGGAAAAATCATCAATTTTTGCACTTTCAGTGATTTAAAATGGAATACTGTGTGGGCGTCATAGTTCTGTCAAATGTCATTTGATCTATCCAAAAGACATTTAAACTGTTTATTAGGGCCAGGTTAAAAACCTGGAATCTTTGATAAGTTTCTACACACAGTTCTGTAGTTATGGAGACACATATATCTACTGTTCACATTTCTACAACACATTTGAAGGTGATATTTTTGGTCGTTTGTATATTAAAAGGAACACCTGTGTACCATGCACCATGAATCCAAAATATTAATGCCGGTGTTTATCAATAACACTATAATCACACAAAAAGGTTTTCAGATCATGTACCAACAACCCAATCCAGATTAGAAATTTCTATGATGTATGTTAACAGTCTTCAATAATTAATATGACAGAGTTAAATTAGTTTGTTAAAGATTAGTCTTATTGGCAAGTAGCAACTATGAACTGTTGACCTCTTGCTATTATATCTGGGTTTTTTGTCAAGCCATCTTCACTAGCTAAGGGTTAAAGTCCATCCAAGAGGAGAGGGTTGGATCGTAACCCTTGGCTAACAAAGATGTTTTCAAGCCTGAGACAAATGTCTCAGAAAATGAGATGCTAATCTGGTGGTGTTGACATTAACTATTTTTGATAAAGCCTTTTATTTCAGAAGGTATAGTAGAGCTGGATAAGACACATGCCTTATGGTCTGCGGTTTCTGTCTTATACATGTTCATTGTCCATTATCTTATTTTCATGATACAGTGACTTCTTTCAAAAAATATACTAGTAGGTTCTTTATCTCATGATTTTTGGGTAAAGATTGCATGAAATGCAATTAAAACTCTATGGTACTGACTTTGATATCTATATCTTCCAAGGTTTATCACTAGCTTTGATAGTTCAACAAAATAGTGCAGTGAAGTGATCATTATTTAGATCCTATCCAGTCAATGTCATGCAATTTATTGATAATATGTTATACTTTGATATTTTAAGTTACAATATGATGTGTATTTGAATTACCATACTTGTCAAGAAAACATTTTATAGTCCCCTACCGACGAAGTCAAAGGGGACTTTAATTTTGCACTCCGTCTGTCTGTCTGTCCATCCGTCAGTCCGGCAAATCAGTTTGCCACATTTTTTTTCTTCATGCGTGAAGATATTGATTTGATATTTGGTGTATTATTTAATCATGACAAGTTACAGATCAAGTTCGAATTTTGTTCCGGTCTGATGATTTTGTGCAGTTATGGTCCTTGGACTTAGAAAATTCACTCATATAATCAGTTTTCCGCATTTTTTTTCGTCATGCTTGAAGATATTGATTTGATAATTGGTATATAGTTTTATCATGACAAGTTACAGATCAAGTTCAAATTGTGTTCCGGTCTGATGATTTTGTGCAGAGTTATGGTCCTTGGACTTAGAAAATATTCACTTTAATAATCAGTTTTCCACACTTTTTTTTCGTCATGCTTCAAGATATTTACTTAATATTTGTTATATAGTTATATCATGACAAGTTACAGATCAATTTCGAATTTTTTTCTGGTCTGATGATTTTGTGCAGAGTTATGGTCCTTGGACTTAGAAAATTCACTCAAATAATCAGTTTTCCGCACTTTTTTTTTCGTCATGCTTGAAGATATTTATTTGATAACTGGTATATAGTTTACACCATGACAAGTTATAAATCAAGATAGCATTTTGTTCCAGTACAATGAATTTTTAACCAGTAGCGGACTATGTATTGCCATGCAATACTCTCAGAATGCTTGTTTTATCAAAAATTACATAAGTAATGCATGGTGTATGAATCTGTTATAAAAATAAGTTCAACTACAATGTACAATCATAAACAATGAAAAAAAGTAAAATAACAAAAATACCGAACTCGAAGGAAAATTCAAATCGGAAAGTCCCTTATCAGATGGCAAAATCAAAAGCTCAAACACACCAAACGAATGGAAACAACTGTCACATACCTGACTTGGTACAGGCATTTCCTTATGTAGAAAATGGTGGATTAAACCTGGTTTTATAGCTAGCTAAACCTCTCACTTGTATGACAGTCGCATAAAATTCCATTATATTGACAACAACGTGTGAACAAAACAAACAGACAAAATAGGTAAAAACGTCAAAAATAGGGGTACAGCAGTCAACACTGTGTTATAATCTTAATCACTATAAAAACAAACAAATATATCAACAAAGAAAAACAAAATGGCATATAGACAAAGCACATAAGCAAAAATGAAAGACAAGAATACAAAAAATAACCACAGCACAACAACACATTGGCGGGATGCATAAGTACCGAGCCACACCAAAAGGATATTACCAAAAATGGACTAAACAGTAAAGGTTAATATTTTACAAAGACAAATAAAAGAACACTACAACACGTAATTAAGATGATAAACAACGTCAGTACCTAGAATCTATACTTTAAGACCATCATGTATTATTTGTGAAGTTGATACAGAATATCTATCAACTAAGTCTTGGTATCTTTAAAAAAAGGACGAGACGTTCTTTGACATAACCCTGGTTCATCAACTTTCTGCTCAGACACTGGTGACGTTTTATAAAGTCTGAGTTTTATTTAGAAATTAGCAAAATTGCAAAATGAAAGCAATCTTTACCCTTCAGTGCTCACAAGCACTTTGATTTCAGTTATTAAATGTTATAAGAACTTTTTTTGGTGTTTAAAATCATTGCAGGTTAACATGTCTTCATTTGACTGATTGTGAGATGTACATATCTGTCTTACATGGTTTGTCAGACCTTAACTCCAATTTCATGGTGTATAATTCATAATTTTTAAATACATGATTCCAGAAATTTGACCTTGATCTTACAGATTCAAAAAAGAAATTGATCATAATCAGCGAAGCATGTAAGACATTTCAGTGTGTGCACTCGTTTTTGTGTCTTGTTATGTTGCTGTCTTATTGACATCTTTAATTCATTTGGAAATAAAAATCTGTGTTCATAGGACTTACTTAATTTTAATGTCCAAAAATAGTGAATTGGAGTCAAAACCCCAATTTGGCATATAATTTAATAATTGCATATCAAAATGAGCATATGCATACTAAGTTCAAATTAAACAAAAAAAAACACTCTTTTACTGATCAGATTTCTGCAAATATAACAAAAAGAAACATTTAATGTTAACCGTATGATATCTTCAATCATTTCCAGTTCGTTACAAGATGAACTTAATTTCCCTAACCAAGATATATGCCAAGGATTTTGCCAGGATTTCGGAAGAACAATCTTGAGAGATTTTGTCTCTAACGATATCAGTGAACTAAAATCCAATTCAGTATGAAATAAAAGAAAAACTGAATCAAGTTGTAAGTAGCTAGTGTCTACTTTCGTCTTCTTATCCTGAACTGTTCAGGGACTTTCATCTTAACTGTGAAGACTAAGAAGGTTGTAAAAATGCGTAGAATAATTAAATAAAAGTCAAAAGCTAAAGGAGCAATACAAAATCTTGTTGATGACAATGAGTATTAATAGTCACTTAAATGGTGACGACAGTCTCAAGTGAGTCAGGATATTTAGTTGTAATAATAATTTGATTATAAACAATGTTTAAACTTTTTTTTAAAGTAGTGGATAAAACGAATTATAGGGTGTACTAGTACATCAATTAGACAGCAACTCAACAACACAGTGGAACAAAAAAATGACATCCAGATGTACGGTATTCAAAAACTGATAATACTTTACATGCAAATTTTTACACTAGGTGCTAACCAAAGTTCTCCTGATATCATGGAGAATTGGTTCTTTCTCATATTAGTACTCGCATGTCGGCTAGGTCAAAGCCAATAACAACTAATAAAAATATCATGTATCTAAGACTAAAATATCAATCAGTACACATCCAACACCTAATGGATTTAATGTAAAGACGTCATTAACCGTCTGAGAAAAATACGACCTTGTGCAATGCCAAAAAAAAAACCAGGTATCGGCATATGAGGCCCCTCATGGGGGTGTCCAAGTAAACACATAACATCAAATTTGTTGCCAATATAATCACATAATCATTAATTATTTTTTTAAACAAGATAATCAAATAATCAAAAATACAGTCCTAGATTATAAAATAATCAAATAATCATGAAATATTTGGTTTGGTAATCAAATAATCACTATAAAAACGTCCAAGTAATCACATAATCAAAAACCCCATGAGAAGGCTCACATATTGTAGAACCGTGAACGTGCATACGTATATAACAATGATATGTAGGTTAGTTTAAGATTATAATTTACTGATAACAAAATCAATATTTATACGAATAAAAACGATATTCAAAGATCTAATTACAGTGTTGAATTGGTAACCTTTTAGAATTATATGAAAATAAGGAGTTGTGGTATTATTGCCAATGAGACAACTATCCACCAACATGCAAAGTTCAAATGAAGTGGATGTTAGCAATTATAGGTAACCGTACGGCCTTCAGCGATGAGATAAACCCACAGGCACTTGTCTCTGTAAAAAAAATTACCTATATACTAGTACTTTAATATAAAAGAAGGTACCTAACTCGCTCGTATATTTGAGAAATGTCACCCGGTCGCGAACTTCCGTTATATTTCGATTCTGCGGTTATCTATCCCACTGAAACTTGTTATGTCGTAAATCTACATTAACTGAATTATCTGCAAAATGGTGTATAACACGCCCATTTCTGTTGTCGGAATCATTCGTAATAGGCCTTCCAAAGTCTGCCTCATATCTTGACATACATCTAGAAATTGACAATGAGGGTCGGTTTCAGTGGGATAGACAACCACAGAATCGGATTATAACGGAAGTTCGCGACCGAGTGACATTCTCAAATATACGAGTTAGGTACTTTGTGTTATATTAAAGTATAATTTTTTTTT